AATCGTGGCCGGCCTTCACATATTTTCGGCCACTTGAAGATGGACAATCAGCAGGAAGAAATACAATCAGCACTTCATCGCCAATCGATTTGGTAGGATTGTTTAACTAGACCAATATTGCTCAACTATCTCAAACAATGGAAACTGTAGAGAATACGAATATTTAGAGATTTCAAGAAATGTTAAACCATAAATATCAGATAAAATATTCTTAACTTCTTTTGAAATAAAAAAATTTGTTTTCACAAAAAAAAACTAGTAATTTTTAACGTTTAAACCACTGAATATTCTATCCACTTTTCGAAACAACTAGCTAGATGTAGATTAAAGTTATGCAAGTTAATTTTAATATTTTATCTGTTAAAACACAAATCGGATAACTGTAAAATTAATTTAACAGTTACCTAAATATGATGGCAATAACGTCGAATTTTGTGGAAAAGTTGAAATTTCAGAAAGTTAATATTAGATTTCTTCAGAAAACCCTTTGAAAATGCGGTGAGATTTTCTGGTAGAAATTCACTCAAAATTCCAGTGTATATCTGTAAGTGCTGTGTGTTTGGTAGGCGGACATCACATATCAATCTTCATTTCCTCTAATAGGTTGTTTAAAAAATGTGCGTTAAAAACTTTCCCCCATACATGTATAAAACATTTTATGGAATTAATGGGAATAAATAGTAGGGGCTTTACAATCACAGGTATCATTCTGATTAAAAAGAGATGCCGTTTGGAAGTAGTTTTTGTTTTGCACAAAAAACTGAAATACTCCTACAGAAAATGTAAGTAGAATTTGTGCCAACGAAACACATCCTGATTAGAGATAGACACTAGCATTTTTTAGGATTCCTGCACCGCAGTCTTTTAAGGATATTCGAAGTGATAGACGCCCCAAACACAGAAAGAGGGGCACTGTGAGAAAAGGGAATGGTAAATTCTTTGAAATCTAGGGGTAATGCCAATATGAAATTGTAATTGCAGCTCTCACGGCGGAAGCATACACAGAAGGAACAACAATTTCATACTCTGAGATGCGCAGTCATGTGCGTGACTTTCAGTTCTACGTCATTACCCAACTTCTTTTAAATCACTTGTTACGATTACGTAGTATGTTGGAAAAATTTGAATGTTATAATATTAACTGTTTGGCATTTTGAGAGGCAAAGGAGCTATTCCTATAGTATAGTTAATAGGAGGTAGAAAACATATATCCAGTTTAGTTAAACTGGAACACAAAAGCAAACATTTGGAGATACAATTCCTTCACACTTTCAATACTTCCAGGATTCAATGACTTTTGTTGGCCGTTGATCATCCCGCTATTCACATTCATAGGCAGCTTAGTTGCCTTCCTCTTACTGCAACCATCAAGCAGCGAAGGAAATGCAAATGCGGCCGTACTCCTGCCATAAACACATCTCATTTTCCGGGAGAACAAACTCGATCTTCTCTTCAACTTTCGAGCGTTTTAAATGTAACGGGCCGATTTAACTTCATAAAAAGAAGGAAAAAAGGAAAAAAAGGAAAAAAAGAAAGAAAAAAAGGAAAAAGAAAAAAAAGGAAAAAAAAGAAGGCGCGAATGTACATGCTGCTTTAGAGTTCAACCGTACCACGAGATGATTTAATCTACTTGTTCCCCTGGAGCTAGGATGTTAAGGAATACGGCACAAAAAAGTTCAGCAAAAATAGGAATAATCAATTTCAATTTTTGTTAATTAGTTCAATAACTTCATGTGAATCAGAACTAAGAATTAAGAAACATTTTTTAAACAAATAGTAAGTAATTTCCAAATATGTTTCATTAAATAATGTTACAATTCATAAAAGAACACAATTTGTAACAACTTTCTATTGCCAGCGACCTACTGGCTTGGAAGATTTTTGGAGTAATCCTTCTTTAATTTAGTTAGTCATCATCAGACGTATTCAGTCACTGCCTTTTATCCCTTCGGCTAGGGGCTTGATACCTTTAGATTCCGAGGTTTTTAGGCCGTAACCCTACCACGAACCCGCGATGTCTCAAATTCTCTTACCCTCCGGGACTGCACGGAGGATAGTTAAGGAATTCCTCCAGCGACACCGGCTAGTGAAACCCAATAACGTAAATCTAGGTGGTGGTTCTCTATTCATGATGGAGTGACACCTCAAACAATCACTCAAGTAGATCCCGCGTCAGTAAACTCCCTTCCTCCCAAACATTCTCTAAGTGTCACAAAAGTATATCTCATCAGAACACTAAGCCTAAAATCCTATTTAAACATAGTGACACTTCAATGTCACGAGTTGAAAGAGAGGGGTACATTGTCATCCAATTGGGAGCTCCAAAAACTTTACGTTGTAACGCAGCTCCCGATTGGATTACGTCTTCCTCTCCTTGCAGTTCGAGACCTTCAAGTGACACTGTGTAAATCGGAGTCTAGAAATCCCAGGCCAAGCGGTCTGCGCCCGACCCTTCCTTCCGGTACGTACCGTTGCCGATGAGGTCCAGCTCCTCGTAGCGGCCCTGGTCGCG